GCGGAAATTTCATATCAGGGCACAACTTCGCCTGCCACCTTACCGTTTCGCCGACTGCGACCACCCTCCGTTGAGGTCGATGCATCTCCACCCTCAGCCACTCCTTCCAAACCCTTACCCTTTCGGGTTGGTCATGGATTCGATCTCCATCGGCTAGAGCCTGGTTACCCCTTAATTATCGGGGGAATTAACGTGCCTCACGAAAGAGGGTGCGAGGCTCATTCTGATGGTAATTACATTACGATTCGCTGACTTTTTATCTTCAAGTCTCGTTTCTGTGGCTTATTCCATCTGGTTGTTGAGAAAGCTTGGAATGGATTTGTCAAATAAAAATTTATTAGAAAATCTGGGTTGAATTCTCCTTAATTTGTTTCCTAAAAATAAATTAAATTAACGAAATGGTTCTGTTACGTATGATTGGTTTCGTTGCTTGTTCGCTGTAGGAGATGTGCTGTCACTGTGTGGTCGATGCGATCTTGGGGGCTCTTGGTCTGCCTGATATAGGGCAGATATTTCCGGACTCAGATCCGAAGTGGAAGGGTTGTGACTCCTCTGTCTTCATCAAAGAATCTGTGAGTATATGCTATTTCCATGACTGTCTCACACTACGTATGATCCTCCAGTGATTCCCCCCCCCCCCTCCTCGTGTCATGCAAGTGTTCGTAGTCTTTTTGGAACAAAAGATTAACAAAAATTATTCGCGACTCTAGTTGGAAGAGTATTTCAATGGTGACTTTGGAGGCAATACGTGGACTTTGTAAATCCCAACAAGTTGGTTGTGTAGAATTAAAGCTTGATAGTTTCTAAAGGTGTAATCTTCTTATTTCTGGTCCCCATTTATACCTTTAGTACTACTGTTCAGTTTGTCTTGATGTCAGTCTGGCTTTCCCTGCTCCCTGCCGTGGCTAGTTAGATAACATCTTTGCAGAAAGGAAGATAGATAGATTAACGAATAAAAGTCAGATCCTTCCAAGTGTGAATCTGAAAAAAAGGGGGATTTTGTTAATTTATATAGGGTTTAACTTTATGAGGTGCGTTAGTGCCTCGTCAGGATGCTGATCAGAATCATGTATTTGTCGATACAGGGCTTCTTGGGTAAATACACAGGATCGTTTTGTGTCCGGATGATCATTTCTCGGTCACCGTTTGCTCACATTTGTTTTGGTGAAAAACTGTAACTTCAAGCATGTTTAATATGCTGAAGTTGAGTTTGTATGTGCATTATGATTGGTGTAGAATGAAGCCTGTGTTTTCGCTGTATGCCTTTACCTTCAACGAAAGTTGGTGACAGAGAAAGCGTTTTACCGTGGATATTTGTTTAGCCTTGTCTAATCTTGGTGTCGTCTGGTCCTCTACAGGTGAGACTTATGCATGAAGCAGGTTACGAGATTGGAAATTTGGACGCAACATTGATACTTCAAAGACCAAAACTAAGCCCACACAAAGAGGCCATCAAGGCCAACTTATCTGCGCTGCTTGGAGCTGATCCTTCTGTGGTAAATATCAAAGCGAAGACTCATGAAAAAGTTGACAGCCTTGGCGAGAATAGAAGCATAGCAGCTCACACAGTGGTCCTTCTGATGAAGAAGTAAAAGAAGCTGGAAATAGTATTGGAAGGAAAATAAGAGTTCATACTTAATAAACATTGTTATGAAATCTATGAATCGTTGCTTGATTAGGATTTTTGGTTTTACTGCTTATACAGATCAAATCGCCAGGCCTGCATAATATTTGGTTTGAATGACTGGTTCTGTCCTTCTCATGACATGCGTGAAGAATGAATGATTTTTTTTTTCGGTACAAGAGAATGAATATTATCAATGAGTTAATTTTCAAAACCTGCCAAGAACTGGTCGCTGTCTTTCATTTTTCTTGTGAAATGATCACGCACTTCCAATAATATAACCTAGAGCACCTGGAATGATATTATGTATATACTGGGAATTATAGACGGTCAGAAGAATGAAATCAACCAAAACTAAACAGGGAAATAAGCAAACACTATGGATATCAGTTTTCTCAGCTCATTATCATATTGAGGAAGTATTACACAGGGATATCTATATCTAAGCTCAAAAAATAACCTTTTGACATTGTGATCCAAGTTCAGCATTAAATTGATGGAACACAGAAAGAGTCTCGGTAAGCACACATCATACTTTTGCCAGAGTGGTGCTGACACACCATCTAAGAAGCATTCAAGTACAATTAAAAAAAGGGTATCCAATGCCATCTTTTAGTAATCTTATGGTTAAAACTTCAAAAAGCGTATTAGGTAGGTGGGGTTAAAAGTCGGAGGAGTGATAACTGATAATTGGTAGGATTTTTGCATTCTTCTATTATCAGCTGTTCTGTTTTCAACTTGAACAAAGCACACAGTAATGCCGACTACTTCAGCCATGGCTGCAGGATTATGTCTCTGAGTTCTGACACATGCCACATGACATAGCAGTACATGGCCATACTCAGAAGCTCCATTGCTGAGATCATAATTGAATCAACAAATCTGAGATGGTCAACAGTAAGAAGAGGCGGGTTTTTCTATAATCCATGTTCAGGTTTCACCATTTTAACCTGGAAGTCAAACTTGTATGCTCGCAGGCTAACCAAAGATGAACCTGTCAAGTGTTGGGTTCAAGACTACAGAGGCTGCCGGGACCAGATATTCTGCACATATTGCATTTGTTATGCAAATGGTAGAGCCGGCTCATGGTCTCATCTTCCAACAATCTTTACTATCATTAATGCTAACATTCCTTTTTTTTTTTTTGGGGGTCAAACTATCATTAATTCGTAGTAGTTGAAACTTGAAACTCGTTTTAAAAAAATATCACGTACCCAATAGGGAAGCGTATACTCGTTCGCAATGTCTAACTCGACGACTTCCTTAGTTGTCCCCCCTTCAGTCAACATCAATTCATTGTATGTTGACTTTTCGCCCCCCACGATATAACGCAATGTGCGAAAGTGTCATGAAGCTTCACTTCTGCTCTCGCAAGGATCATTCTTCATGCATGACATCGTTGAACTAGACATCTGTCTTTTTATGAACAAGTGAAAATGAAAAGACATCACAAACATTTTTCACCGCTTTTTTTTTTTCCTCTCGTCAAAACATGTGCAGGAATGAAAACTGAAAAGTTAAAAGGGGGAAAAATTCTAGCCTCCGCGTATATTTTTGTTTTTATGCTAATTTTCATTCTCGCGGGCTAAGTAGAAAGTGATAGTGTTTGACTGTCTATACTTACGCTGCACGTTGGGGTTGGAATTTCAAAGGGAAGAACTTGGACCAAAAAGATGTTTTCAACCTTCAACATAAACTTGTCTAAACTCTATTTCAGTGTGGAATATTGCCAGACAAAGGTGGTCCAATTTGGGGTTTGGACTTTGGGCATGGAACGGTTGAGTAATTAAAACCAAGGCTTCCCCGAAATGTTATTTTCTCACTGACCCCTTTTAAACTTGACAATTATTCCCCCACTTGTTAATCATGCACTTTTTTTTACCCGTTATACGTAATCAACTGAACTCATCATTTTCATCTCTATAAAGTACTATTCTTTGATCATATATATTCATTGCTGTGAATTAGATTGGATAAATGGTTCAGAAGTGTTTTACGGATTACGAAGTAATATTGGAGGAGACCTCGTTTTGCGGAAAAGGATTCTGAACTAGGTTTTGGTTTTGCCAACACCTAAATGAAGCAGTCTTGAAAGGTTTGGACCCGGCACTGCACAAATCGAAAGCAGTCAAATTCTGCAATCTATATGGATAGTATATTAATGAAACAAAATCTGAAATCAGGCCAGAAGGCATGTCGGTTGCATTGAACAATTCTAGATTCATGGAAGTGGAAAAGGGTATCATATTTTTGAATAAGCCATCAGATTATATATATGCACATTTATCAAGGATAATCACATGCTTAAATGCTTAATTATGTTATCAAGCTCATATTTCTTTGCGGCCATCTATTTGAAGTTCTGAACTTTAACTAACCAAGGCACATGATGAAAGTTGAAAGTAAGAATTGGCTGTTACAAATTCAACTCTATCGGCTCTTTATCCCTTATCTCTCATTTCAGAATTCTTAGATAAAAACAAAAAAAAATTATTTTCTTGGTGATTCATTGCCGTGTGACAACCTGCGAGCAGCTGAGCAACACATCAGTATTGCCCCCACGAGCTCACCTACTTATTAAGAAAGCAAAAGTACAAGAACATTGAAATAATTTGCCCAAAAATTGTCTATTTGTCCCTGAAATGCATGACAATAGTATTTTGAAATTAGTTTAACTCAACTAATGTTTCATCAAGCAAAACATCGAAGCTAGACTTGCCCAAATAATTAATACAAAAAAACACAACTATGCGATCTTCATTGTTATCGTAAAGGTTAGCAATCAAATCAGAGAGGTCTACAGAATCAGCTCAAAGTGGGATACAGCAGAGTGATGACGATAAGGGATGATACAGAGCAGGATTTTTAATGGAACACAGGGATAAATGAGGCCACAAATAACGTGTTGCCTCCACAAAGGACAAGTGTCATTGATTCATTGGTCGGAACTTGACAACACAACAGCCTTCTGTGGAATTACAAGCCAGTGCTAACGTGTTTGACACCCGTCTTTCCCACGAACCTTCACTTAGACTTTGTAAATTCTGTCGGAGAACAATCTACATATAAGGAAGGCCATAGCAGATGTTGTGGTTCAAGCTACACACTCACTTTGTAATCAATTCTTAGTTTCGTCCCTTCACACAGCCCCTTCTCTTTCTCTTACCCTCTTTCTCTCTGACTTGGGTTTCATTAACTTCAAACACATTTCTAACTAGTTTGGATCTTGGAAGAACAATATACGATGTTGTCGAAGATTGCGATCGGTGATGGACACGGCGAACACTCCCCATACTTTGATGGCTGGAAGGCTTATGAAAACAATCCGTTTCATCCTTCCGACAATCTTAATGGGGTTATTCAGATGGGTCTGGCTGAGAATCAGGTATGTGTGAATTTATACAACGTATTAATGAGTTGAAACTTGTTTTAATTTAACGCAGAAACTAATATATTTTCATCTCTGGCAGCTCACATCTGATGTGATTGAAGAGTGGGTAACGAAAAACCCAGAGGCCAGTATTTGCACCCCAGAAGGAGTCCGAGATTTCATGGCCATATCTAACTTTCAGGATTATCATGGCTTGCCAGAGTTCAGAAACGTGAGTGAAAATAGAAGCTTACTAATTCAGTGTTTGATTAATTTAGAAAAAACTAAAGTGTGAAACAAGTTGATTCTGATTTTCCGCCAACTAACAAGGAAACGAATTAATATGCACAGGCTGTGGCTAAGTTCATGGCAAGAGCAAGAGGAAACAGAGTCACATTCGAGCCTGATCGTATAGTTATGAGTGGTGGGGCAACTGGAGCACACGAAGTCACAGCTTTCTGTTTGGCAGATCCTGGAGATGCTTTCTTGGTACCCACTCCTTATTATCCAGGGTATAATTACGCGCCACCTTCCACCTTATCTTTCTAATTTATCATAATTAAATGAAAGATTCTAAAGTGGGTTGGCCTAGGCCTACCACTTCCTTTTTTGAATGAAAAGTCATTGACGTTTTCCACTCTGACTAACTTTAATAATTTTTTTTTTTCTTAATGATACAGTTTTGATAGGGACCTTAGATGGAGAACAGGACTTCAACTTGTCCCCGTTGTCTGCGAAAGTTCAAACGATTTCAAATTGACAACGAAAGCCTTAGAAGATGCGCATGAGAAAGCCACAGAGGATAACATCAAAATAAAGGGCTTGCTTATTACTAATCCCTCAAATCCATTGGGGACTATCATGGACAGTGAAACATTGAAAAGTGTGGTCAAATTCATCAATGAAAAGAACATCCACCTCGTATGTGACGAAATCTATGCTGGCACAGTTTTTGCCGAGCCTGGTTTCACAAGCATCGCTGAGATTATAGAGGAACAAGACGTGGAATGTAACAGAAACCTCATCCACATCGTTTACAGCCTTTCAAAGGATCTTGGAGTTCCTGGGTTTAGAGTCGGCATCATTTATTCATACAATGATGACGTTGTGAACTGTGCTCGCAAAATGTCCAGCTTTGGATTAGTTTCCACACAAACCCAGAATCTTCTTGCGTCAATGCTATCTGATGATGAGTTTGTGGATCGATTTCTCACAGAGAGCGCGAGCAGGCTTGTCAAAAGATACAGACTTTTCACAAGAGGACTTGGCCAAGTTGGCATAAAGTGCTTGCAGAGCAATGCTGGTTTGTTTCTGTGGATGGATTTGCGCCATCTTCTGAAGAAACAGACGACTGAAGCAGAAATGGAGCTGTGGAAAACGATCATTCATGAAGTGAAGATCAATGTTTCACCTGGTTCTTCATTTCATTGCTGCGAACCTGGGTGGTTCAGAGTATGCTATGCTAATATGGATGATTTCGCAGTGGAAGTCGCTTTGACAAGAATCCGAACTTTTGTGCTTCAAAACACAGAAACAAAGGTACCTGCAAAGAAACTGTGCTCGCAGAGCAGCTTAAAATTACGATTAAGCTTTAAATCGAGGAACATGGATGACATGATGATGTCACCTCACTCGCCTTTACCTCAATCGCCTTTGGTCAAAGCCACCATGTGAAGTAACATTCTGGGCACTATTTGAAGATTTATTTGGTTCGTTGGTTTTTAAGTGTACATTAGAAGAATTAAGATTGTTTGTTTCACAACAATAAGAGGGCATTCCTGTAACTGTGTCACTATTGGATGCCCTGATGATCGTAGCTTCTGTGTCTTAGGCATTCTTTCTTTTTTCTTTTTTCACTTTCGGAATGATGGGTTCTTGGTGAGTGAAAGAAGTTCATGCAGTCTTGGTTCAGAAGAATTGTAAAACTGAAACATTGTTTGAAGAATTGTAATAAAACATCTTCATTTTTTTTTTCTAATACCTCTCTTGCCTGCTTCAACACTGTAAAATGGTTACCCTGGAGATTATTATGATTATTAGTTCAATGTAAAACTCAAATGAAACTGAAGAGAATCACTTTTTTTAAAAAAAAAAAAATACAAGGAATATATATTAAATAACAAACTTGCTGACCCCCGTGAATCCTTGTTTCTGGGCTTGGACGGTTTTAATTCTTAATATAAAACTTAATTGATGAGTTGATTTTGATCCTAAATATAAGACCTGTTTAATATATTTATTATTATTATTTAATTATCCCTATAAATACTCCCTCAACCATATTCAAATAAAAGAGGGAGCGAGGATATTAAAGAACATAATTATAGTGTTTTAAGAAAAACATATCATATTTCTTATAATTAACTAACTTATATAACTTTTTTAATCTAATCAAATTAGTTAAATAAATCTTATATTAAATACCGGAGAAATAATAATTAGTATTCATTCCACGTGGACATGGTCGGTGCCCTGACACAGGATTCTCAGGGGAGTATCAAATATGTATCTTTGTTTTTGGTCGGCAATATGAAATATGGAAGTAGATTTGATGAAGAAGGTGGATTCTGCCAACTGCATAACCGCAGGCTCCTAAGATTTGTCGATTTAAAGGAAGGAAATCGGATTGCTTTACTGAATAGTGATTCGGCACAAGCTGTCCATTTGGCGCCTAAGGATAATAATGCTGCTCTTCAATCTTCATGGATGTTATCCTGTTCGTGCGGCTTACAGAGAATTATAAGCTTATAATTGGATAATTATTTTAAGAAATTATTTTTAAGCAGTTAAATAAGTGGAAAAAAGTTTTTTAAGAAATTATTTTTCATTTCAAGAGTTTAGCATGACATGAGTACTTACTTAAATACCCAAACATAGCCTTCAAAGACTACTAGTTACTAGTAATTAGCAAGTCATGTGCCTCAGCACCATGTCGCAATAAAAATAAGAGGAATGGAGTCTAAATATTATATAAAAAAACCATTATTGTTAATAATGAAGAATTTCATATATTTTAAATAATTAAAATTTACTATTATACTTGATAAAATTATCATTTGTATTTTTACGTTACCATTCATTTTTTTAAAAAATGATAATAATTTTTGTAATATTTAAAATATCAGAGCAATTATTTTAAAAAATGAGTGATGATTTAATGTTAGTTTTTTCGGAAAAAATTGGGGAAAAGCTCGCCATTAAAAATTTTATTAGCAAGAAGGGCCTAATTAATTTTCATACATAAAAAATATGAGTACTCTATAAATTATGTACACACAAAATACCAGCACTCTGACTTAGATTATTCTCACAAAATAAAAATAAAATCATTCGAAACTTTTATCCAATTTTTCTTTGTTTTTTCCTATATCATGAGTGAGCAAAATAGCCAAAAATACTACATACTTACTTAGGAAAAATGACAAATAAAGAGGTTGAAAAATATAATATTCCAAATCAGCACCTAATAATTAAAAATAACAGAGATGAAGTGATACTTGATCTGGTATTTTGTAGATATAGTTAAATGACTAAAACACTCTTATATCAAAAAGTTTATGAATAAGTTTTGAACTAGCAATGACAAGTGTTTGATAGCAAATAACAAGAAATATACTGACAATGACAAGTTTGATAGCTTTTTTTTCAAATATGATACAATGACATTTTAGTCATTTAACTATATTTACAAAATACCAGATTAGGCAACATTTCCTTCTCTGTCATATTTAACTCTTATGTGCCCAAATTGGGAAATGATAATTTGAGGTTCATTTTCTAGAATTTTTCTAATTACTAAAACGAAATTGGCAAATTATTTTTTGTATTATGAACGAAGTCTGCTTGCCTTTATCAATGAAGAAAGTCTACTTGTTTTATTTGAAGGAAGCATCAATTTCTTGAAAAAAATAAATTTTTTCAAAAAAAATGTGTAATAACTAATAAATATATTATGATAAGAAATTTCTCCCTTCTTTGTTCATGCATACCAAATATGAGGAAGGGTGGGGGAAAGGCTCTTACGTACATTCGGAATTTGGGATTTTATAACAAATAACAAAGAAGTGAAGAACATAAAACTGTTTCATTGGGAGCTGATCCTGCTTTCTTGTTAGTGAAGCAATCACTTTTGTCGTTTGATCTTCGGACAATTACCCATTGTCGTTCATATAACCAAATCTAAGGATAAGCATGATGCACTATAGCAAATGACTTACTTTAAACAACACAGATTAGTTAGATAATATTGCTTCAAAAACAAATTAAAAAAATAACATCATTCGGCGCGCGCGCATATATATATATATATATCCTCAGCTTTTTCAGTTAAGAAAAATTAGTATTACAGTACTTATTTTAACAGATTTTGAATCAGATCCCTCTAGTTTTTTCCCCCCCCCTTTATGGGATCCATATATCACATTAAATGGGCAAGTCCTTACGTTAAAACTGCTCTCAACTCCGTTAATATGGCGTGACACGGCATTGAAAATGCCACTCTGGAGTTTGGACTTGCTTTCTCTTTCTTTCCTGTAAAAGCCTATGGCTCTCCGGCCACCGCACCAGTCTGACATTGACGAGAAGAAGAAAAGACTCTTTAAACTGCATTTACCTCTCCATCAGCATCAGTTTCCGCGGTGGCAACTAAGCTTGCCTATTCTTTATCTCTTCCATTAGAGACACGTGTTCTAAATATAAGACTTTTTTCGTAGTATAAATTACATTATGAAAAGGGTCTTGTATTTAGAACCTAAGGAGTAACATTCAAAACCAGTCATTGAAGAAGTTGAAAAAAAAAAAAGAAAGAAAGAAACATCTCCACATCTGATGTGCTGCTGCTGGATCGGCTCGAGATCTAAGTGGTTAAAATGCCTTTAATATCATCGTGCTGTAGGAATGTGTTTATATATATACATACATATATATATATATCCACACATATACCATTATTTCAAATATATGCCTTATTTTGTGGCTAAGCCTGAATCTGAATTAAATACTCCAATGGCAATATGAGAGGCTCATGATGATTACCAGAAGCTTCTAAAAACGATGTATTATATGTTAAGCAAATTTTTTAAATAAAAAATTAAGGTAGTCTTCATTAAATTTTTTCGAAAAGAATATGCAGCCGCATATAATGAAATTTGTCATATTAAGTGGATTTCCTCTTGCAAAGTTGCCATGGTTGGGACAAACTCAACTGCCACCGCCGCCGGAAAAGGAAGTAAGGAACATCACTGGAAGCTCCGATGACCACTGCCAAACCCCATAATTCACATGACTTTATCCTAAATCCCCATCAGCATAGAAGAAAGAGACCTTTCTTCTCCTCGTCGGCGTCAGGCTGGTGTGGTTGGCCCTGAGGGATGAGAGAGAGCCACAAGCTTTTGCAGGGAAGGAAGAGAAAGCAAGTCCCCATGCAGCCTTTTCGTTTCGATGCCATGTCATGGAGTCGAGTGTAGTTTTAACAGAAGAACCTGCACTAAAAAAAAAAAAAAAAAAAGAGAAGGATGCTAAAAAAAGGGGGAACCTCGAACGATGTAATTCAAATTTTGTCAAAACTATGAGAAATAAAATAATAAAAAAAGTATTTAGGTAAAAATAAAATCACAGTTTCAAAAGTAATTTTAGGATATACAAGATAAGATAAATATGTAAGAAAAATTTTATTTCAGTGTGCGTGAAATTCTTTTTTAAGTGTTTTTAATTGCTACCAAACACCTTTTAAACGGCTTCGCTTTGCAAGTGGGTTTATTTTTACTGCGAGCTGCTAATTAAACTAGTGAAAGAAGACAAAAGTTAAGATATCATATCTGACATCACCAATCATAATATAATATCAACTTTTTAGGCGATCGAATATATAATACGGATGGCATATTAATATATTATTGATGAAATCATTTCATCATAATCGCTAGATGGTGACACGCTTATTTATTTATTTATCTGTGAGCGAAAAAAATAAAACAAAAAGGAAAAAGAGGCGTATAATTGGCGACATGCATACATACACACACATATATCTGTTAGGCACTACAATATTTTGGAATATGGCTGGACTTGTCTGTGATAATCTTCATCTGCAACTCTAAAAGTAAAAGCCATCATATAAAATGATTGGATCCCCTCCAACACCTCTCTTATTTTGGCCCTCAAAACTAATCAGTTTGTTCCGGCATAAGCAGTTTGCCAACTTCAACCCTCCACACACGCAACAAGGAATTTTTCAAAAAAAAAAAAACATACATATAAGGATTTCTTTTTTGACCAGCACATATTAGGATATTTTACTCCTCCGGTCCTTCATATATGATTTAATTGTCAAGTTAATTTTGGTCTTAAATATAAGATCTATTTCTCATAGTTATCAATTTTTCCTATACTATTCTTACGAATACTCCCTCAACCATAATTAAATAAGTGAGGGAGGAAGGATATTAAGAAAGAGAATTATGGTATTTTAGAAAAAATATATCATATTTCTTATTATTAACTAACTTATTTACCTTCCTTAATCTAATCAAATTAGTTAAATACATTTTATATTAAGGACCGGAGGAGTACTTCGTAGTTTTAATGGGACATAAAATTGATAGATACAGAATTCGAAAATTTGGTAAAAAAATCCTTGATTAGAAAATTAATTACGGAAAGGGTTCAAAAATCCAAATGCAACATTGTGTAAACATATCTTTAAACCTATAAGAAACATAAAACATTTGCACATAACAAAAAATATGTTATACACATTTTTAAAAA